TCGACCCCCAGCTCGGCCTCGATCTCGACCACCGCCCGTGGACAGCACAGCAGCTCGTCCTTGACCACCACCCCCGGGCACCACGGTGGCACATCCCCAACACACATCCCGCTTGGCCACAGCGCCAGCACCGCTGCCAGCACAACTCACCGTGGCTGGGAACCTCTCACGTCCTCCAATCGCAGCACTTCTCCCCAATCTCTCAGGATCTCCATCTTCTTGCTGTCCTTTTCCATTGAGAACCGTCAGTTTAACTCTTCTCTGGAAGATCCCGGCTCCGGCTACTACCAGGAGTTGCAGAGGAACATTTCTGAGTTGGTGAGTGGGTGCGCTTTCTTTCCCAGGCTCCGTGCTCTTCCGGGCAGCGGCCTCCAGGCTGCCGGACCTGTTTGCCTCAAGCCTAATTCTTTCTCTTCTCACCACAGTTTTGGCAGATTTATAAAAAGGAAGGTTTTCAGGGCCTCTTTAATATCAAATTCAGGTACTGTTCTGGGTGTGGAGCGTGTGGAGGGAGGCCGTGGGGAGGACTGGGGCCGTGGGGGGCGGCCGGCCGGAAGCTGGGACCTGCGGCTGAGTCACCCGTTTCCCACCAGAGCAGGATCGGTGGTGGTCGAATCGAACCTGGCCTTCCGAAAGGGCGCCACTGATGCTCGCAGCGTGCAAACACAGTTGGAAGAGAACATAAAAGAACTTGTCGCATATCACCTGTCCATCTCGAATGTCAGGGGTGAGGCCACTGTCCCCAGCTGCCGCCCAGCACCCATGCCTGCAGGGCCCTTCTCTCCAGCACCTGGGTTCCTGCTTTCCCCCCGGGGTGCTGGGAGGGGGCACCCTCCTTCGGGAGAGTATTCTGACCACTGTGTTTCCGTTTAGCACAAGATGTGTCGCTCCTTTCCTCCCGCCAGTCCGGGTCTGGGGTACCTGGCTGGGGCATTGCTCTGCTGGTGCTGGTCTGTGTCCTGGTGGCATTCGCCATCATCTGTGTCATTGCTCTGGTAAGTGTTGGGTCTCCAGGCCTGTGCAGAGGCCCCTTGCTGGAGACAACCCCGTGGCTCCCTCTATTACCTCTTGTTTCCTCAGACGGTGTGTCAGTGCCGCCGAAAGAACTGTGGGCAGCTGGACGTCTTTCCAGCCCGCGATGCCTATCACCCTATGAGCGAGTACCCCACCTACCACACCCATGGGCGCTACGTGCCTCCGGGCAGCAGACCCAGCCCCTATGAGGAGGTGAGGAGGGGCCCCACTCCATGGGGAGCCCGAGGCTGGGATTGGGAGTGGAGAAGGGGGAGAAGAGATGAGAGGCTGGGGAGGACCGGACAAGGGGGTGGGGTCAGAGGGGCTGGGGTGGGGGAGGCCTGGGGGAGGGACCTTGGGAGGAAGGGGATCTCAAGAGAGTGTCCCCACCACCAGCATTTCCAGAACCGCACTGCAGCTGCTGGCTGGGACGGGGGTGCGGCAGGTGGGGCGCTGGGCACAGGGGGGCCCTTCATGCAGGACTCCCGAGGGGACGAGCACTTGGGCCCCCACTGAGCTCGCCGGAGTGGAGGGTCGATTTAGAAAGGCCGGCAGGAAGGGGGGGGTTGTCTCATGGGGAGGAAGCCTCACCCTGCCGGGTGAGCTTGGTGCCAGGGGCTTTTTGGGAGTCTCAAGGAAGCAAGGAGCCTCCTTCTTTCCTCACCTGACCTTTCTCTCCAGGACCTAGTAAATAATTACTTGGGCCACCGGGGGCTGGAGCGCCACTCTGGTGGGGGAGGGGAGTTTCCTTTTCTTGACCCCGTTTTCCTTCGCCCAGGGACTTCCTGCTCCCAGCTCTGTAGAGACTGGCACACTCCTGCTCGGGCTGGAGGAGCAGAGCGTGGAAGGAGAAAGGGGGGGGTGGGGACAAGGAGGCTGATGAGAGCCAAGAGGAGGAGGAAAGGGGAGCAGGGGGGGAGCTGCGGCCCTGGGCCCTGTTTACAGTCACCTGGCTGCCAAGGTGTGGTGTGGTGCCCAGCAGGTGCTCTCTGAATTAACTCTTTGAGAGTTAGACTCCCCGACTTATTATTCCAGGCTGCGGTCTGATCTGGGTCTGGTCTCCCCACCTAGGTCTCTGCAGGCAACGGGGGCAGTGGCTTCTCGTATGTGAACCTGAGCACATCAGCCACTTCCGCCAACCTGTAGGAACGCGTTGCCACTGAATGTCCCGATGCCAGTGCCACGTGCCTCCCCCAGGCTCCTCACTGCCAGAGTCCCCTCCACTCAGGTCTGTGCCTCGCTGGTGAGCTGGGAGTTCAGGCGGGCTGCTCACAGGCCCCACCAGGTCCCCTAACCCATGTCAGCCCCGATGAAGCCCATGTGAGCCCCTTGGGGACAGGCCTGGGGCAGGGGCTCCCAGGAGGACCGGCCCAGAAAGCTCCAGGATGGAAATGTGAACGGGACTGGGGCTGAATAAAAGGGGAACCTCTTCTGTGCTGACTGCCACCTTCAGATCTGTCACTGTGACCCCTAGACTGGGCGGGGAGAGCAAATGTGTGTGTATGGGGCTTCAAAGGGGTCTTTGCGGGAGATGGAGGGAAAGGCAAGAGTAGGGTTTGTTTGGAAAGCAGGAGACGTGGAGAGGAGATGACATTGGGGCACAGGTCACTTCTTCCTGTCCCTGGTGGCACAAGAGGAAGGAGGAAGCGAAACTGAGTTGGTTTGGAGGCCTGTGTGACCCGTGACCCGAGGCCAGTGTGACCCAGCTCCACCTGCCCCGGAGGGAGGGCTCCCACTCTCGGGGCTAGGGGCAGCCACGCCCTCACCTCCCCTTGGCCCAGTGCCCCCAGCGGCTCTATTCTTAGCTGCTGGGGTGTGAAGTAAGTGTGGGCAGTGATAACAGTCAGAGTCAACACCGTCGTGATAAGCACAGTGTCAAGATCCGGACGCTGGCGCCCGGTCCGGCCCCCTCCCTGGCTGGCGGGGTCTGGTCTAGGCACCCTGGGAATGGGGAAGTGGTTCTGGTTCCCTGACCCTTTTGGGCCCAGGCACAGCGCCCGCCCCGCTTACCACATGCCCTGGGGGCTTGGGCCCTGGCGTGGCGCGCCCCCAGTAGGCCCCCTGTTGGTTGGCTGGGACTTGAGCCAGAGGCTCTGGGGCACCTGCTTGGGATCTCCTTCCCTCAAGCACCCCTGCTCTGAGCAGCAGCAGAGGCCCCTGGATCCTTCGCACCTGTCACGCCCGGGGCAGAAATGCAAAGGGACGGTCGGGTTCAGGGAAGGCACAGATGTGCCTGGAAACCTAGTTTATTGTTTATAAACCATGAAAATACCAGCTGTTGCTCGGCTCAGGCCTGGCAGTGCCCACTGCAGGGGACAGCAGCGGGGCCCCAGAGGCCTTGCCTCGCCCAACCCATCAGGGCCACCTGCCCTCTGCTGGGGCCCCCGGGGAGACTTGGCACGTTGGCATGGGGACACAGGACAGGGTGAAGCGTGCAGAAGGAAGGAGGAGAGATACAGGCATGCAGCCAGGGGCTGTGGGGGCCCCAACAACTCAAGCAGGATGGCAGGGCCCTCTTCTCCTCACCAGGGAGGGCCTGGGCAGTGTCCGGCCAAAAAGCCCGCCCTGACTGTGGTTCCGCATCGGTGGGGCGGGGAGCTTGGCGGGGCGGAGAGCAGAGCGCAGAGCTGGGGGTCATGCCCTGTGTTCCAGGTGCCTTCCCTCCCAATCAGCCTGGGGTGGGGGGCATGGGACAGCGATGGGGAAGGGGCTCTCTCCGTGACTCGGGTGGGATGCCAAAGGCAGGACATGGGCGAGACTTGATGGGGGCTGGGGCCTGGCTTAACAGGCAATGAAGAGAATGGGGGGCGTTTAGAAAGGTGAGCAGAGGAGAGTCCCTCGGTCAAGAGAAGGCCCAGGAATACAAAGACATAGGGGAAGGGACAAGACGACATGGCAGGAAGAGTCTAGGGAGGAGCCGTCGAAAGACTAACCCGCTCCAGCAGGCCTGGAGGGCGCAGGGCCAGAAAGGGTCAGTCCAGCTTGGCAAAGCCCCCGATGGTGACCTTCCTCTCAGGCTTAGTGCCCACAGGCTCCTGGAGCTGCACTGCCCCGCCCCCAATGAAGCAGAAGGCAGGGCACACGGGCCCCGAGCAGTCCAGGGGGCACTCCAGGAGCCCGCGGAAGGACACGGCGTCCAGAAAGGACACGCGGCCCCGCTCATAGTCCAGGCAGATGCCCAGGCGGGGCGGCAGCGGCACGGTGCAGCTCGCCGCGGGGCCGTCCCGGCCCGTCAGCCCCGCGTTGGAGCTGGCCCCGGACCCCAGAAGGATCTTGCCCATGCCGATGGTCAGGAAGGCGAAGGGCGGGGACGCCTCCACTGTGGCATCCTCAGCGCCGCTGTCGTGCCCGCTGTCCGGATCGTACCTGCAGGGACGGAGTTGGGGGGGTTGTTGGGGAAGGGGCATGGGAGTGGGGCTCAGCGGGGGTCAGGGGCAGAAGGCTGAGATGTTGGGAGCAAGGGATGTTGGGGAGCAAGCGTTTGCAAGGGGTCCATTTGGGGTACGGAGAGGACGTGTCGCCGACCCGAGGGTTAGAGCATCTGGGCTCTGAGAGCCGTGGGAGAAGGGTGTTGAGAGCAGGCACATTGGCAGGAGAGGTGGGGGAGAAGGAGGGACGGAGGTGAGCTGGAGCACTAGGAGGAGACAGGAGACAAGGTGGGGAGGAGAACTACGTGGGGACATGGTGCTGGGGAGGGTCTTAGGAAGGGTTCGAGACTGTTGAGGGTGGGGGCTTGGTCACTGAGGGACTGGGGAGAGAAGGCTGCTGGGCAGGCGGGTGTTGGGAGGGAGGGGTTGGGGTGGGGGACAGCATGGGGTGGGGGCACTGGTGTTGGCGGGAGAGCACTAAGAAATGGGGTGTTCAGGGATAGAATGCCGGGAGGGAAGGTCCAGGGAGGCACGCATGTTGGGGCTGTTGGACAGCACATGGGCAATGGAGGGGATGCAGGTGGACACTGAGAGGGAAGGGTCTCAGGATGTTGAGGCCAGATGTGGTGATGCGGGGAAAGCGCCCTGGAAGCGAGGGGTTGGGAGATGCAGAGGCTCTCGGAGAAGTGGTGTGGGTGTCCTGAGGACAGGTGGGAGCAGGTGGATGCCCCCCCCCCGCAGCCCCCTCCCCAGCCGCTTGCTCCTCTGAAAACCAGTTCTTCAAGCCCTTGGGCTAAGCCCAAGGTTGCCCTGGCCATAGGCTCCTGCCTGGCTTCCATGCTCCAGAACTCCCCTGCTCCACCCCAAGCAGCGTGAGCTCCCCCTGCCAGCCCCATCCAGTCCCCAGCTCCCCCACCCGGGACCCCCATGCCCCATCCCCTCCAGAGAAGCCTGACCTGGGGCTGATCACATCTGGGGCACCCTGGAAGCTTTCCTGCAGCTTGCTCTCCAGTCCGACGCCCACCTTGACCAAGTAGGAGGCTGGGTCGACAGCACAGGCCCAGTAGCTGCGGCCCTGGGTCACGGCCACATCTCCCAGCACCACGTCCACGCTCAGGTGGCAGCCGGTGAGGAGCCGCTCGGCAGCCAGCAGCAGGGGCAGCCCTGGGACGCTCCGCACCGCCCTCTGGTCCTTGCTGATGGCCAGCCGCTCTCGGCTCGTGCCCCAGCGGCCATCAAGGAAGAAGTGCAGGACTGCCGTGGGGTAAGGGACAGAGGAAGAACTTGAGGGACAAACCCAGGCCGTGGAGGCCATGAGGCGTCAGCCAAGGACGCTGGCAGATTCAAGAATGTGAAATGAGTTGCAAGGGATTGGGGGGGGGGGCTCCAGGGACCAGGGCCTGGGGAACTGCAGGGGGGCGTGAGGAGAAAAGGGGACCCCCCAAACGGCACGGGACCCCAGGGAGAGTTTTAGTGGGGATTAGTGAGCCTAGACCAGCTGACCTGCTGCGCGTCCTCCCACCCCTCTCCGACGGCTGGTCCCCCAGAGAGTCCTTGCTGGGGCCCCGTCCCAACTGGGGACGTCCCCCACCACTGACCTACACCTTCCAGCGCACACTCTGGCGCTCGCACGGCCGGCACACCCCACTTGGGCAGTGACGCTCCAGTATTCTGCCTGCGTCCCTGAGGCCAGACTACTTTCTGGAGAGTCCCCATCCTGATCCTGACCGAGTCCTTACTATGAGCTGGGAACTCACTGGCTTCACTCTCACCGCAATGACATTGTTATTACCGCTACGGAAGGGGGACTTGGGGCTCAGAGAGGGCAAATGACTTGCCCAGAGCCACGGCGGAAGCAGAGTGGGGATTTGATCCTAAGTGTCTAGCTCCGGGGCTGGTGAGTGCGGCCCACTGTGTCCCTCCGCGGGCCCGCGCAGCCCCGGCTGTTAGCGCAGTGAGCCGGTCCCCTGGTCCCGGCCCGCTCACCGGGTGCCCGGGGTGGGGGATATCCCGGCGCGCCCGCCTGCCCGCCCGCTCACCGGGTGCGGGGATGGTTTGCGGGGGTGTCCCTGCCTGCCCCGTGCCCGCCCGCCCGCTCACCGGGTGGGGGGGTGGTTTGCGGGGGTGTCCCTGCCTGCCCCGTGCCCGCCCGCCCGCTCACCGGGTG